AATTATTCCTGAAGTACTGTAGGCAGATGACTTGGTACCTCAAGACAGCACATTTAGCATACAGTCAATGCTGGAGCACACAAACGGGGCCAACTAGCCTGCAGCGGAGCTGCATTAATCTGAGAAGGTAGGTTCCAGCTCCAGTGGAGTGAGCTGTCCTACCATGTTTGTATTTCTGCTTCTTCTGAATTAAATTAGGGCATGTATAGCTTTTCTTAGGATGTAGAATTCTAGGACAACCCATGGTTTGCTCATTAATGAGTGACAGGAGAAATGCCCTTGGTGCAGCTGTCAAGAGCTGGTGTTTGGCCAAACACGGGGTCAGCGATAATGGGGACCAGGATAACGAACCTTCAGGCTTGCACAACTGCTGACTCAGAGCTCCTTGGGATTTCTTGTCTTCAGCATTGCAAAAGAGCTGAAAAACAGCATAAGAAACCTTTTGTAGTGAACACTTTTGCCTCCAGAGGATCCCAGGAGACTGGGACTGTTGTATAGGTATGTCACTCATCATCTAGCATGGGAATTCTGTTGACTAGGAAGACATAAATGTTTGAATAAGAAACAGAGCACATTTCTAGAGCTTAATCACTAGCTTACTGAAAATATATTAGGCCAAATTTTACCTACGGTGTTTCTATTATGAAGACCAGCAGAAATTTGCAACTGTATAATTTGTGTACACAGCTCAAGAAATACATACATTCAAATAATTTGTTCATCAGCCCTTGTTTATCTATCGGTATGATATCTGTAGTCAACGCAGTATTTCTCATAGGCTCTGTTTTTGTCTTCTCTGCATCCTGCTTCTCAGTCTGCAACGTCTGCAACACCTACAAACTCAGCATCCAACCTCCCCACACACAGTTTTTCCCACGCTTGTTACCTAGTTGTTAAATCTTTCTGCAGTGCTTGAAGTTGAGGCTTTGAATAGATCCAGTTAGGAGTTCCTCAGTCACAGCTGACAAGTTTTATAAGACTCTTTATTTGAAATTAAAAAAAAAAAAAACCACCACCTCCTTAAGAAACTGATTTTTCATTTGCACTGCCCTAATCCACATTTCTGTGTGGATTTAGTGCTGGGAAAAAATGTTGACTTAGATGCTTCAGTAAAGGAATCCTTTTTTCTATCCACAGCAAACTCCCTATGTTTGTGGCCCAATTGGTAAGTTTTAATTGCAGACAGCAGGCACTGGAGCTCCTTGGAAAGCAATCAGGCACCTCAGTCTCTGCTTGCAGTTTGGGGGCTCCCTCTGTAATATGCCAGTCAGGGTGTACAAACGAGATCCTGACAGAGACACTGCAGACTGCAGAGTCTGAGAGAGAAATCAGCAAGTGCTGAATCCAGGCCATCCTAACTAGGCTGTTTCTGGCATCCCAGGCAGCTTCTTTAAAGTTACCTCTGGTATCTCCATGGCATGCTATGGGCCAAGGGGTCTCTGCCGCTTCCAGGCAAGCATGTGTTATGGAGCACCAAGCATCCATTTATACTGGAACAGCTTTTAACCTCTACTGAATTTGGCTGGGTTCATGTTGATTACTTCAAGGCTGAAAGCAATGTCATTAGCAAATTCATGAGGAATCTGTCCTCCCCCAAAGGTACTAATGTTTTACCAGAAAAATGGAAACTGTTTCCTGAAAGCTAATTTATTATATCAAATCCTTATTAACACATAGGGTGAGCCTTCAGCTCTTTAACAGAAGAACATTGTCTTTTCTGCTTTGCACTGCCTTTTCAAATGTGTTCTGAGTGAGACATCTCCTTAAAGCAGCTACTCCTACTAGCCAAAATTAAACATTGAGTGGTATAATAAAATATTCTAATAATAAGACTCCTACAGTTTGGTGCTTTCTCTAGCCAATGCATCAAGGGATTTACAAATGGATACACAAGCACATAATGTGATCATACTCCTTTATCTAAAAATTTGCACCTTGAAGGATTCCTGAGATTTACACCATGTTCTACCTGCAGTGACCTTGGTGAATCTTAAATCCTTGTAAAATGGGTGACGGATAACTAATGATTGGATTAATTATGGAGATTTTTTCTTCCTCAGGGGGAATTGTTGGTTAGTAAAGATAGCAAAATACTGGCAGCAGAAAGAGCAAAACCCTAAAATCTGTGTTTTCTTGCCTTTCCACTCTACTCCCACTGAGTATGTCCAGACTGATAAGGACAGCATAGTGCCTGCCTTCAAAATCTGACCCATGTGCTCTGCTTTTGGTGACCCTTTAAATTCAGCACAAGGCATTGCCAGAATGGTCATTTTGAAGCACCCAACATGCCCCAGCTCCCAGGACAGGGAGTGCACCTCCATGTGCCACCAGGCAGGCTGGTTGCTGTGGTAGTCTATAGCTGGCTGCAAGAGCCATTAGTCTGAAGGAGGAGCATGTCATGTTTATGTCTGCTCCAAAACCAAGTGTTTTGTAAGTGGTATAGACATCACCATTAGGCTACTGCAGATGGGAAGAGTCTGTCTCTCCTTCACCATATGCGAATGTCGACTGAGATGTGTGACACTCTTCACAGGTCTGTGAGATAGTTTGGGTGATATGATGATGATGATCTCTGTTCCTGTTTAGCCCAAGCCTTGCTGTCTGCCTACAGATTGTTTCCTCTTTCTTTTTGCAGGCTTTTTAGTGCAATTTTAGAACAAGCAACCAAAGCAGATGGGGGGAATTCAATAGGAGGAAAAGGTGCCGGATTCGATGTTAAAGCACTGCGGGCTTTCCGAGTATTACGCCCTTTAAGGCTGGTGTCTGGAGTTCCTAGTAAGTAACGTCATTGGTTTTCTTTTATGTATGTGTGTGGTGTGGAATGGGGCAGGAGTAGTTTGTGTAACAATTTTGAAGGTGGAGTGTGCTGCAGATCATTTTTGGTGTGTTTGGAGACCTTTTTTCAAATTAATGTTTTCATAATAAATGTGATATTAATCCAATGACCAAATAAGAGCTGAATGGGAATGGAAGTTTCACAGTATGTCAATCTGATTGTTCAACTTTTTTAAACAATGAAAGTGGGAGATCTAAGATTTTCATGATTACAAGCAAACGATCCTTCAGATAACTGTGAAGACACAGCACATTGTTGGCATTATAAATACTTGACCTAGATGGAAATGCTGTATGGCCATTTGTGTTGAGTTTGGAGGGAGAGGAGCTTTTTCATTAAAATTGCATTTCTTCTTTGCATGTGATGTTCTGATCAGGAGCACTGGGAACAATTTAGAACCAACAGGACTTAGGGCAATGACACAGTCATGTTCTCTGTTAGTCTTTGCTTAAATTATTTGTAATGCCTCTGAGAAAGTCCTCAAGCAGCTTTTTATAGTCCAACATCCATTTTCTTATTTACAATGAAGATATGAGTAACTGAAAGTCTGGTAATTCTATTGTAGAGGTGGAATATGGACATCACGGTGTGGTAGGATTTTATCATTTGGCTTGTTGAGTTTGTTATAGATGGGACCCACTGGCCTTTTGGAAAGAGGGTTAGTTGAAAGCTGTCATTGATTTCCATGTTTATAGCAATGAGAGATGTGATTAGCAGGAAAGGAGTTAATTTTCTCCAGAATAGCTGTAGAAAGAGCTTTGTTTAATTTTATTTGGGGAGTTTGCTAGTTTGATGTCTTAAAGTACTTCTAACCTTAGACATTTGAAAACCGTGAGTCAAGTTACCATAAACTCTGTGGGATCAGTTTAAAAATCATGATTTATTTATTAGGGAAAAGAAGTGTGAGGTTCTTTTTATTTGGCTTGTTTTCTGACCCGTAGATTATACTAGAGCCATGTTTGCAGGCTTTTCTCCATACCCATAAAGGGTAGAAACTTTTTAAATGAAAGGTGAGAATCTCTGTGGGAGGAGCTGAAGCACTGATAGAAGCAAAGAATACTGAGGCAGTTGACAGCATTACTATTTGATCTCACAAAAAGCCACGCTTGGTAACCAGTCAGCGAAGCCTCAGCTTGTGCCCAACTTGGGGTTACTTTGGACATCAGTGAATTAGTAGAAAATATTGAAAACTAAGTGCTGTCTATTAAGCAACTAAGGACCTTTTCCTCTGATACAGAACTAACATCCTGTATTCATGCCACCTCTGTTAGGCACTACTGCAGTGGGTTGTTTCGTGTAGACAACTGTGTACCATGCAATACCTTCAGTCCGTGCAGAAGGCATCTCTGCTTTTGGCCAGAGTTGTCCCATGACAATTTTTGTCTGTGGTCATGTCATGGTTTAAGCCCAGCCGGCAACTTGGAACCACGCAGCCGCTCGCTCACTACCCCCCTCTTCCTTCCTCCCCCCGCTCCCGGAGGGATGGGGAGGAGAATCGAAGGAATGTAACTCCCACGAGTTGAGATAACAGCACTCCAGTAACTAAGGTATAATACAAACCACTACTGCTACCAATAATAATGATAAGAGGAATAACAAGGGAAAAGGACACAACCGCTCACCACCCGCCGACCGATACCCAGCCCGACCTGAGCAGCGATCTGGGCCTTCCGGGTAACTCCCCCCAGTTTATATACTGGGCATGACGTGCTGTGGTATGGAATAGCCCTTTGGCCAGTTTGGGTCAGGTGTCCTGTCTCTGCTTCCTCCCGGCTTTCCCTCCTCCCTGGCAAAGCATGAGACTGAGAAAGTCCTTGGTCAGAGTAAACATTACTGAGCAACAACTAAAAACATCGGTGTTATCAGCATTGTTCCCAGACTGAAAGTCAAAAACACAGCCCTGCACCAGCTACTAAGAAGGAGAAAAAATGACTGCTGTAGCTGAACCTGGGACAGGTCTTCTTCATATTTTGTCTGTGGTCTTCAGTCTGCAATGGCATCCACTTAAGGTTTTGTTGTTCTTTCCTAGTCCTTCTCTGATCTAAGGTTTTTGATACCTTATAATTGTATGCCCACTATATGGTAAGGGGATGGTACTCGAATTTAAATATCTGTGAACTGGAGTGTGAGATGCTGCCTATGCTGGATCATGTTCTTAGAGTTGTTCTGACATAGGCTGAGCTTAACTGTGGTTATAGTTCTTGCTGTTTTGGAGAAAAACATGTGTTCCCTAAGAGAAAGGGGTTTTGTTACTGCTGTTCAAGTCTCTTGACTAGTGCTCTTAGAGGACTAGAGAAGGCTGAGGGAGCCAAATCTGGCACGGTTCATAACCATATGCGTACATGATCTTGATCCCAGCATAGACTATCTAATAGTCCATTTGGGGGGGGGGGGGTGGGGGGGGGGGGGTCGGGAGGGTGTTCATCAGGAGCAGTATTTATTTTGAACCAGAACAGACCCAGGGAGTCTGGTGCATGCTAAAAAATACTCGGTCTAGGAAGATGAAATGCCAGTCCAGTGTGAAGTAGGTGAACCATCATCTTGATGCGATGGACATCCTCTAGTAGTCTTTATGGTTCTGACTAGGGACGTATTTATTGAACTGGGATTCTTTGGGGCTGGCATGGCTTTTAGAAAGCCTGCTGAGGTCTGTAACTAATACAGCCTCAGTCTTCACTGGGCATTTATTAATTGTGCAAATGCCTGTTGATTAGCCTAGATAGATGTTATCACATTCATATGTATTAGAGCGTAACTTTTCTCATGAGGCCTTTCAGATAAGACTGCCTAAGCTAACCATAAATAGTACATTACAGGATTGTATTATTACATAATAGTAAGTGTAGAGGTTTGGAAGTCAAATCTCTGGGTCCCACAAAAGTTCTGTCCCTGAGACATCATAAACACCAGTGGGTGAGTTACCAGTATTGAACTTGCGGTGTTTTGATATCTGTAAATAAGTGCCATTTGTTTCCTTTCCCTTCCAAAATGTAGAAGACTTTTTCTACTGTGAGGAGACAAACTGCACAGATTTGTCCTAAAATTATGTGAATGTAACATACACTGCAATTTATTTTCAGACTCTAGATTTATTATAGCAGACTCCATAAGTGTATCGAAGTAGTATCTCATTAGTAAGAGGGGATCTTCTGGGGTCATTGGCAGCCACCTTCTGCATGGAAATCCCAACATCTGCTGCTTGACTTGAGGTCCAGCTCTAACTACCACTATCTGCGGGGACAAAAAGTGTAAAACACAATGATTGTTATAAACTAAATTTATGAAGCACGTGGTGAATTTTTGCATGAAAATCTTAAACTCATCAGGATTGGGAAATAGGTTGTCTGAGGTGGATATATTGGCTTGCATCATGGAATCATTTTTTCTGAGTCAATTTTTTTCTCTCTGGCTCAATCTTAGGAAATAATCCAGTTTAAGAGGGACATCTTTTTGTATTCAGGTTCAGCATTTAAAGGCCTGTTTCAGAATACAAAGAGTTTCCATGTAAGTATGATTAGAAGTAGGGGAAAAACATATGAATCGTCTTCTAAAGTAAATTACTAGTGTCTGCATTTTGCAGATGGGGAGACTGAAGCAAAAGTTCAAGGTTTAACACTTTCAAAAGTGGCTTCTGATTCTATGTCTCTCATTGGCTACCAGTGCTAAACACCTGGGTATATGAAAGCTTTAGATAGATGGATAATTTTAGATAGATGTTAGCGTCAGATCTGAGAATGCCTTTTCTCCAAGTCCCATCCATGCTTAGTTGCTTGGATTTGGCTGTCTCTTGTCAGAGAACGTCTCAGTAAAGAATTCAGGGACTGTGCAGCACAGGAAGAGGTTCATCTGTAAGCAAATTTGGTTGACCCATGGGTAGATGAGCAAAGGTACCTTTCGCAATCTTTGTTATGACTGAACTGTCCTAGGCCCCAAATTACTTTAGTCAAGATCAGAAGGATTTGAGGTCATGAATTCAGCAAAGCCTGAAGACTGCATTTGGATGACTGTCATGGGCAGATAAATATTTCACAATCTTCAAGAGAACAGATGATACTTTTATTCTTTGTGGTTATATGGACATTCACAAGACCACTTGTCATGAAGAAGGAGATAGACATTTTGTTTAAAAGATGAAACATGTCTTACCCATGTGTCAAATACAATTGTAGCATCATGAGAGAAGCTTTCAAAGGCACCTAATTTAAGGTCTTTGCATTCCCACTACACCTTTAAAAATTGCTATTAAGTATTTACATATTTCCGAAGGGTGCAATAGGGATTGATTTGTTATGATATGTTTTTTGTAATTTGAGTTCCTTTCTTCAAAACTTTTTTTTGAGTGAAAAGTACCGGTTTTGTTGTGACTATGTGAGCTGCATGGCAGAGCAGTAGATTAGATACTTCCCACAGCTCTCATCCCAGTGCTGACAGTTGCTTTGTGAACAAAAAATTTAAAAGGGATAATTAAGCAACTCTTTATTTTAATTTTTTTTTTTTCCCTTTTTCTAAATTCATACTGCTTCTGGAAAAATGATCCACTCCCAGTCTGTTTAGCCTGGCATTAACTTGTAAATTAACAGTGAATATTTTCAAAAGCACATGGATAATTTAGGATTTGAAGTGTAAGACACTTTTAGAAATTAGGTGTAAGCACTGTATATCACTGATAAACAGGCCAGGCCTTACTGTTCAACTGTTCTGTTACTGTCATACTAACATAATTCTTGTAGTGCATAGTTTTATTTTAGTTGCTGAAATAACTTTACTGCTTGTGTACCAGAGCAGTATCCTTGTAAAAAAAACTTCATATGTGCATTAGAGCATCTATCTTAATGTGGCATTAAGATCAATATGTTGGTTTGAGAAAGGAGAGAGAAGGAAAACAATTCTCTAGATGGACATAAGCATACAAGTGCAAAATCAGCATGTATACCAAAAC